CACCTAAAAATTACCTACAGGCTTAAAAAAAAAAAAAAAAAAAAAAAGAAGGCAAATAGAAATAAATAGAGGGGCATTATCTAATATTAGCATGTCATTTCCTACACACTTTAAAACATTTTTATGAGTGCAGATTCCAATTTATTATATCCCAGAATATGCAAAAAAAGCACATCAATTCACTTAAACACAGTTCATACCTTGGGGGAAGAAAACGAGGTTTATATTATCGTTGCATTTTTGCCTCCTTCAGTAGCAGGCTATTAAGTCATACAAAGACAAATTTAGCATATAAAAGAATTATGTTCTTTTTCTTTAATGTAATGAGATAATAATGAGATTTCAATTGTTTCAGGATCAGATTCTGCCACTGTTATAATGCATAGCATACTGTTAGCAGAAAATATTTATACTTTTCTAACTCAGGGTCTGCTGAACACTTTCTTGCCAGTGAAGGGCTCAACATGCACGCAAGAAGAAACACTATGTATGACTTGTGTCACCCCACTGATTTCAGGCTGTTACCTTACTTGAGAAGTTGTAACTTGGCAGAGTAATTTTCACACTCTCATACTGTGTGTTTTCAATGTACTTTTTTTCTTTTCATGTAATTGTGTGAAAAATTAGATATTGGGTAAAAGAGTTAAAGGCAATAACCCCTATGAAGCTTTACAGTCTTTTGTTGCCAAATATTTGATTAGCTTTTTTATTTCTTTAGGTTAGTAGAAAACTGAGAACTGCCAGGAATCAAGACGACACATAGAAGCATGTAATGGTCTGGGTTGGAAGGGAACTTACAGATCATCTAATCCAACTTCCCTGCCATGGGCAGGGACACCTTCCACTAGACCAGGTTGCCCAGAGCCCCATCCAACCTGGCCTTGAACACTGCCAGGGATGGGGCATCCACAGCTTCTCTGGCAGCTTCTTCCAGTGTCTCACCATAATACAATCTTTCACATGATTTAAAGGGTGGAGATTTAGGCACTTACTCAGATATTCTGGAGTGCAAAATGCTCAGTCCTGCAGCTACACCCAAGAACAAGTTGGCTTTAACAAGATGTTTCACTATTACCAATATGCAGTAAGGAGAAAACACTGGTCTTTGGCATTAACTCAAAGCTTAACACAAGCACTAGTCTGCTTACTTGTCCTTGTCTTGCACATTAAGATATATGCATTAGTCCAAATAAAACAAATGAGAGAGTTCACAAACCTATGACTTATCACAGCAGTTAGATACAGAATTTTTATCAGAGACTAAATGGCTACCTGAGCTCTTCTGAAACTATTGGACATTTTTTAACTTGGCATACCTTAAACATGACTAATCCATAAAATCTTAATCTGATTATGATACTCTGTACTTACGTATTCACTGCAAAGCTTGGTCTGCCAAGTTATGTCATTTAAGAGCTTCATTTGGGCTTGATCATTTGCAAAGCTCAGTATCACGGTCGAATGCACCAAGAGGCTGTAGAAGTCCTGATAAGACTCCACTTGTGAGCCCATGGCCTCAGAAGACTCATTTAGCCTCAGGCTGCTCTATCCTGTAGGTGTTACCTACAATACTCATCCCCACACTGCTGGTCTGGCTTGTTGCCTTGCTTTTGCCATATGATCCGTTCATAAGATCTATTGCTATAACCACCCTGCTCTGCTTATTCAGCTTAGGTGCAATTGGATTGTGTCCTGGCAACCAGGGCACTGCTCATCCTGTGCTGTGGCTGCTCTCAGCTCCTGGTTCATCTTTAACCTTCAAGTCCTGCTCTTGCTGCTCCCGGGCACTCAGTAGCCACCATTCCTGTTAAAAGTGGATCTCTTTTACAAGTGAGGTACCTGAAAGCATTCAGCATATCATGCAAACAGCTGCGCATGGAGCAACTCAAGTCTACCACTCAGTATTAGCATACTCAGTTGCAAGGTTTGCCTTCAATATCTTGCTCTTTTTTCCCACTTTAGCTGCTCTGCTTTTCAGAACTTTTCAAAATGTGCTAGTAACTCTTCCTCCGAGGTGCACATGCAAGGGTGCTCTGCCTGGAATGGGGTAAACCAACTCAAACAATGCCCTATTTGCAGAGCTACCAGTGGTGCTGAATAATGCTAAAACCAGTCTGGCTCATCAATCCCAAAGTTAGTCATCCTGATGGTGACACGAAGATGTGGTAGACCTGGTGAAATATACAGATAAAGGAATAAACAAGCAATACTACTGAAAACTTATCTAAAGCTGCTAAGCTGATACAGGTGGCCTGGAGATGTATGACTAACAGTATACTATTACTAAAGCCCAGTCCCAAATTTTAACGGCAGTGTCTTCTCGGAGTGTATTGTATGGAGATTTCTCCCTGGAGTGGGGATGTGCTCAAGGATATTCCTTGAGGCTGAGCAAAAGAGATTTACCCATGGTAATTGGCATGGGTGAGTAACATCAATCTCTACTTATTGTTTTTGCTAGCTTTGAGTTTTAACTTAATTGCTTCAATATTGTTTCACAGTGCACTATAATAGTTATTATAGCTCCCCTATTTTGTAGTGCATAATTATGATTGAGATCTTTTTGTCTAATCATTACCATAATAAAGAATATATAGGTTTATGTGTGTGTGTGTGTGTGTGTGTGTGTGTGGTTTGCCATCCTTAATCCTGCAGGATAAAGATGTACAAAGGTTCAATCACACCTATGTAATCCTTTAGACACAAACTGTTGACAAAATCTGGGGCTAAGATGGGATCCAGCTGCACCCAGGCTCCTCTCTGAGAAGTTTAGAAAGCAAGGGAGTCCTTTCTGCACCCTGTAAATGAGCAGCAGCAGGGCTTTATTAATAAACTTTGTCTGAAGCTCCCACTGTGCCCACTACAAGGGTCTAGATGTGATTTGTATGAGAACAGCAGACAGCAGAAAAGATCTTGCCACTAATGCTAGTAGAAACAGCTGGAGAAATGGCCAAAGAGAGACTTGTGCAGCCAAAAAGAAAAATGCACATTGTTCCCCACAGCCACAGTCAATTAATTGATTTCCATGACAGTATCTTACCTAGTAAAAATCTCAAAATTTTTATCTTTCTCACCACTGCTCCAACAGCCAGAGGAATAAAACAGGGGTGAATCCTCAAGGCATTTAATTTCTCCTACTATATACCTAAAACCACAGATGAGGGACTGTAGGAAAGCACTCTAATTAACTGGTTGAGATCTGTTCTCAAGATGTAAAGAGATACTTTACATCTCTCCTAACAATCTATTTTCATATAACTTACTAAATAATGTGCTCCTCAGACACAGTTATGAAGTTTCACTTTTACTGCCCCAGCCATCTGCACATATATCAAAGATTTAATAATAGTAAACTACATCATCCAAAAAGCAAAAACAAGTAAAAAAAAAAAAAAAAAAGGTGGTAAACCTCTGCCAAATTTGGAGAAAAATATCAATTGTTTTTTTTGGAAAGCATCAGGAGTTTGCAGGAGGCTAAAAGAAAAGATTATGTTCTGTTAGAAGACCTTTAAAGAGCAATCTGCATGCTGCATCTTAAGCACAAATCCTGGTAAGCCTTTGGATATAATGTATTATTTGTCCACTTCTCATAAAAATTAATTAAAATGTAGAATATAATATTATATGAACTAAAAAATTACATCAATTTCAGTCATCTCTGTATAAGAAATTGTTTACTTGACTTTCTGATAGTCTGTTGACAAAGGATGGTTTTATACAGTCTGAAAGAAGACTAAGTTAACGTCTCTAATCACTCAATTCTTTGAAGAGATTTAAATTCTCTTAGAAAAAAAAAAAAAGAGTTAACCTTTTCAATTTGCCACAATATTAAATTTCTTAGAAATGAAACTACAAGCATTTTTTGACTCAGTTACAGCATGCAGATAGCTTGCCTTATCTTTCCTACCTAAAAATAAAAGCCACATGTAAGAAATCGAGCATTTAGAAACTATTAGGTATCTAAGTAATCAGATGTTCTTAAAAGCCTCTGAAATTATGGCATGTAGGACAGCTGACTATCATTAACAGGGCTAGTAATAGTGTATTATCAGACCAAATAGAGAACAGAAGCTCTACAAGTTAAATTTTAATACATTATAAATTAAATTACATATTCTTCCATGTTCGATCAATAAAAATCAGGCAAAAATAAAGTGAAAACATTTATTATTTTCAGAATATTTTTTTGCTACTATTTAAAATACAAAATAGAGCAACTTCCTTTCAATATGACTCATTCAAGGGAAGCTCATAGACTGTCTTCAAACTAGTAATCATGGTTGCATATAATTTTTCTTGGTTCGAAGGACTATGTTCCTTCTAAAAAAAGAACATTACAAATTTAGAAAAACACCCTATTCGTTTAAGAAAAGGTTGACATAAAGAGTCTGTTGTTGACTCACTGTCAGCTACATCTAGAGACAAATCAACATATTTCCATGGAGAATGTCTCGTGCTTGCAGTTTACAATCAATGAGGAGGACAGGAGTGAGAATATATGACACTTTTTACTTACATATTAATTTTGTACCCTAATATATGTCTGAGAGAATTTACAAATGGTCAAAAGCAGAAATACTGAAGGAAGACATTTCTTTTCCCATCACAGGCCGTGGAGAAATAAAAAAGAAGTAATATACATGAAACCTAAAAGACAGACACTTTTCTTAGTATCAAATTCTAAACGATTTTTTAAATATTTGATTGTGTGACTAGCTTTTTAGCATGTCAACCATTATACATATGTGCTCAGTTGATTATACTGACAAACAAAATATGGTTATAAACTTAGCAGTGACTACAGGCCACTAGAATCTTTCTGTTGCTACAACCTCAGGCTTGTTCCTAACAGAGGAAAAAAACATAAAGGCGCACGCAAGAAATTGAAAAAATAATCAGAAGACGATTAATCATGAGAAACACATCCTTAGGACCAATGCCTATTTGCATCTTTTAAGTTAAAATATGTGTTTCTTTGTTGTGGTTTTTTTTTTTTTTCCCCCTAGTATGTGCTTTCAGTATTTTAAAAACTTAACTGAGGACAGCTTATGTTCTGACAACTAAAATACTTGTAGCTCTGTGCCATGCTTTGTCCACAGCCAGGAGCACTCTCAACAATTGCTCCATGGGTGCTGAGAGTTCTAACACCACCTTAGCAGAGGATTGTCAAGAGGAAAAAGCCTCATGCACTCTCCTAACCAGATGTATGCAGGCATATCAGCTTTGGTGATTACAACTTCTATTCCTCCTTACCCGGGGCATCAAAAGATGTTTTTGCTACTATTGTATCACATTTCTTTTAATAAAATTGATAAAAGTTGTGACCACTTGAATGGACCATGAGAGGTAGGATGCACAGATAGATTACAGGAATCTCAAATAAATGTATGTAACTCAAACCCCAACACATTTTGTTTGGAACTGATTTGGTGTGCTTCAGAGGAGCACACTGCAATCACGAGGTACATGTTGTGTAACACTGTTCAATTACTTAATGCAATTCATGTTTGCAAAGACTGTATTCAAAATCTACAGCAATAAAAATCTCTAGTCTTAAAAACTCCAAATGCTATAGTGAGGTTACAGTAAGAAACTGCCTTTTTGAATGGGGCTAGAGTGTGCTGATCTAAAAGAAAAAGTGGCAAGTAAGTCCTAAAGACCAGCAGGAATACTTTATGAAGTGATCCAGCAAACAGACAAAGCCTGTAGTAAATGATGATTTACTCCTTTTAAAGATGCTTTTTTCAATCAACTAGCTCCGAAGCTTTTGGAAACATTATTCTGATTCAAAGCTTGATTAACATACAACCACTTTTATATAAAACAGCTATGCTGGGTTTGTTTATCCAAATTGCAGATTACCAAGGTTGAAGATGCAGAAACACTATAGCTTGCATATGTGGATCTTACCAGTCTCACAGGTGAAATCTTTCACGTCTCACCTGTCAAAGCCAATTTTGCACCATGCAAATGTGACTTAACTACTTCTAGAGCCAGGCCACATGGGAAAGAAGTGCAGTTGCAGAGCTGTGTAGCCAGTTTCAGAGGTTCACATCAACAGCCTGCAGAGCCAGGCTGATGTTTCACTACCCCCACTGGGACTGGAGGTTACAATCCAACATGTGACTCTGCAGTCAGACCAGTCCTTCACCGCTTAACGACGAGTGAATTCATTCTTTATGTGCAACTGAAAGGACTCAGCTTGGGTTTGGAACTCTATAGGGGATAATCCAGTTCCCTTCTTAACATAAAGCTTTGGAAATAGCATGATGATTGCTGGATACAGATGAGAGCCGCAGAAGGCACACCCAAATATCTGAGAGTAAAGAATGAAAAAATAAAACATTTTAAAAATGACAGATATGCCAAACATTAGGGCCAAAACAGAAATTTTACCTTAGCCTTATGGATCTGGTTATCTATTTATATATCCATGGCTTTTTGATTGTAACATATTCCACATTTGTTCATCTCTCTTTCACTGCTCTATTGGAGGATTATTTTATATGGGCTTTCTGGACTACATGCAGACATAACATTACACGCAGTTTTATTTTTTTTTATTTGATTTCTTGGCCTTCAGAAAGCATCAGTTTAAAAATTCAGGCAGAAGTAACTTACAGCAAAGAAGATTCTGATTCTTTAGATCTCAGGGCTACCATCTTATTTTTTCTCAAGCTGATTGAATCTCTATATAAATAGATACTAGTATGACAAATGTGGTTGAAGAAGTCAAGTGACATTCAAAATATGTCTTCAGATGTTTGTCAGTAGGGAAAATGAATGGCAGGTAACCCACAGAACAGTAAATATCCATAATTAAAACAGCTACATTAGAATATGTTTCTATGCCTTTTCACACAGCACCTTTTTCATTCACCTAAAAAATAAAAGCCAAGGCAAAAAGGGAAAGACAGAATGAAAAACTGCCAGAAAAATCTGGTTTCATTTACAACAGAAGAAAAGCAGAATCAGAAAACGATCACTGCTTCAAAATGACATTGAGTTATGAGTATTTTCTAAAAAGCTTTTCAACCTAAAAAAGCATGCAATAGCTAATGAAATAACTAATTAGAAATAGAGCTAAGGTGTAGGTCTCTAATACTCTCATCCTTACATAAACCTTCCAGAACTGGTATGGACAATCCAAACCTTAAAAAATCAAACAACACATTATACTGTCACAGCTTTATTAAAATTACACTGTATTGCAAAGCATAAAATAATATTTTAAACACTATCAGCAAAAGCACCAAAAATTTTACAGATTTAAGCTTTCTTAAATTAAAAAAATGGCATCTATCTCTAAAAATAAATGTTAGAGAAAAATAGTTGTTTTGTACGTTTTCTGTAGCATTTGAAAATGTTATTCAATACTACAGAAAGTAAAGTTGAAACTGACTCATATCAAAGCACCCTAAATGCAATGATATGTAAACAGTTTTCATTAATTAAGGAGATGTGCAAAAAATATAATCAGTGCAAACAACACATCAGTTGCTAGCTTTATGCTAATAGGATTGCATTCAAGGAATGTAACTTGCACACTCTACTCTTAAGCTACTGCCATTATTATATGCTGTTTTAGTCTAAGGAACAGTTTTTTCTACATAAATAAGAAATTAAATACACATAACGACTCAAGACATATGACAGGATCTTTATTTGAAATGGTTTCCCTTAAAAATTGTTATGCATATCTAATTTTCTGCTTATTAGGGTAACAGGTAAATCTAAATAATTAATCTTAATGATCCCGATAGCAAATTTCAAATTTCTCTAAAAAATGGCAGTCTTGAGTGGTTTTCTTACTAGACATCTGAATATTACAACCTTCACTAGGAGCAGAGAATGAAGACATACTGGAGTCTTCCACCTAGTTCAGACTTTCCTTATTTGAATTATCATGAAAAAACAATACAGTATCAGGACAGAACACTGAAAAAGTAAATTATGCTTAAATTTGCAGAGACAGTAAAACAACCCCAAACTTCCACAGCATATTTAATATTTGGGGGCACTTTAGCCTATACAGCTCATTGTTTCATGAGGATGAAGGAATGTTCCCTGTGCTTCAGTTAAGAAGCAGGTTCCATTATTTCAATGCATTCAGTTAACAAGTGGGAAACATGGGTTTTGAACTTAGCAAGTTTATACAGAGCTTAGATGGGCTGTCACGTAATACTTTAACTTTTTTTGAGATTATTAACTTACATTCCAATGAAAACAAAGGTTTCCCAAATGATGCACATCTCGAATTTAAAATAATGTGACAATAAATATTTTTCACATCAAGATGCAGAAGATACATACTGCATCAGAAAATGCATACCTTACTTTTGTTTTGACAATGGATGAGAGGAATTAGAGCAGATTTAGAGAACTGTACACGCTTGAGTAGACCTTTATGATGAAGCCTCTTCTCAGCTCTGAAGGGAGATGGCACAATGATGTTCCTAACTGGATATCCATGTCTCCTGTAAATTGAAAAAAAAAAAAAAAAAAAAAAAAGATATAATTTCAAGCATAACATGCTCATTTAAATGGGAAAAAAGATATCTGAAGAACTGTTTTGAAATTGAATGGGGAAAATATGGCCATAATGTCTGTCCTGATTAAGTGTAAACCTTGTCTGACAGGTGATGAGCATGTGTTGGTCAGGCACAAGAATACCTAGGATGAGATGGAAAGAGAAGGAATGAAATACAGGACACTCTCATACATACAACAGGTAGGGAATTATACACACTTATTACATCTAACTAAGAATTATTATTAAAAAAAATTTAATACTCAAAACCAGCAAAAGTTATTCAAGTTTACTACCTGAAGGCAAGGCATATTTCAATGTAAAAATGGAATTTGTTTATTCTTCCCCCTACTCCTCTCATTCAAGGGCCATCACTTACATCAATAAGAGTGGCAGTTTGAAGAACTATTTGAATTCCTCAGTCCAACAAAAAAAAAAGCTTTCTCAGTCAGAGCCTAACAGAACCTCCCCCTTATGTTGCCAATTATCTCCACCTCAGTTGTTGCCATCTACAATCATAGTGTGTTGCAGGTATTATACTAATTCCCTCCCCAAACAGAGTAATACTCACTCCTGGCCTCTTACCAGTTATACTTTCATGTCCTTCATTTCTCAGGGCTTTTATTTAGAAATCCTGCTCCACCAGTACTTAAACTTTGGCTAAAGCTCAAAAGTTTATGCCTCTCAACTAAATTTCACAATACACTCAATGCTTACACCACTCCAAAGTAAATTATCATTATAAATGTCACCAAATTATCTAAATTACTGTATTAGTTTAACATCCACCCTAGATCTTCAGGTTTTCACATCCAGTAGCCTGAAATTCTTAAACACTACACCTTTTGCCTGATCATTCAGTGAATATGAACTTACTGCTCCACAAGTGTGAATATCATCCCTTTTCTGATACTGACTGCAGGCATTTCTCATTCCTTTCCTCAGTGAAACCAGATTATCCAAGCTGCTGCAAGTCCTGACACCTGTACACTTTCTAATTCTTCCAAACATCAGCAGAGCCTACTTTCCACACTGACTCCCCAAATCTCTCATCATTCCTCCAGGTCAAAATCATGAGATGATGCCTGAAAAACCTCAGCTGACACCAGGGCTCAGAATGACCCAACACTTTATCACCTTGAGCTTCTCTAGTCTGTACTGGGGCCCTGCGCTGTCTCAGCTTCCACTTACTCCCCATCTATTCCATTCCACAGTATTTCTTCCTTTCCCAAATTCGTAGAATCATAGAATATCCTGAGTTGGAAGGGACCCACAAGGATCATCGAAGTCCCAACTCCTGGGCTTTCATAGGACCACCTCAAGAATCACACTTTGGGCTTCAGATTGTTATCCAAACACTTCCCGAAATCTGTCAGGCGTGGTGCCATAATCACTCCCTTGGGTAGCCTGTTCCACTTCCCAACAACCCTCTAGTGAAGAACCTTTTCCAAATATCCAACCTAAGCCTCCTGATGACACAGCCTCACGACTTTCCCTCGGGTCCTTCACTCACTGACAACTATCTCCAAAATCATTGGGAATAACAGAACCCTCTAACACTGTCTTTTCAGCGTTAGAAAGCAAGGCATTACTTTATTTGCAGCACTGGGTGTGCATGTGGCCAACAAGAATCCTGGCTCCATACAGATACCAACACATTACTCTTCCACCTATTTGTACATTTTTAACAAAGAATGAAATTAATGTTTATTGGTTCCAAATTACATTAATTATTATTCTATCCACTACTGGTTATCAATCTCTCGTTGCTTATACTATTTAGTTAATACTTTTAGTCTTTTAGCATTTTTTTATTCCGGTAGGAATTTTCTGCCACAAATACTGAGCTTTTGTTAGTCTTCTCTGTTATCTGCTGCTTTCTGCAAAAGGTCCTTGTTTCCAGATGTCCATCTTCAACATACATCTTTCTCTCACGGGTTTTGTTCATTGAAGCATATCAAGGTTAACATCAACAAAACTTACAATTTTAGTACTTTTCCCAAGCTAGGTCTCACAAAAGTTGCTTATGACAGTTTTTTGCTATAGGTTGGCTAAAAGTAATTTAAGACCTAACACACAACCTATGATCAATTTAAACAACTAATTAAAATGTTAAATTGAACGCATTACAAAATATTAGAAAAGTTGTATCATTATAAAAAACCGGTCAGTGCCTGCCCCTCCATTTCCCATGGAAGTTGTAGACTGCTGTGAGGTGTCCCCTCGGCTTCCACTTCTCCAGGCTGAACAAACCAAGTGACCTCAGTTACTCATGTGACTTGTCGCCTAGACCCTTCACCACCTTTGTAGCCCTCCTTTGGACATTTCCTAACACTTCTAGTAATTCCTCTGAGCTTCTCCTGTGATCTCTTCTGCCTTCATGTAGCTTTGCAAACTATCTTTCAGAGCATCGGCAACAACAAAGCCCGAGGGCCTCCCTCTCGGTGCGCGGAACTTTCCGCCGCCCGCTGCGAGCGGCCCTACGAACGGGACCCCGCAGAGACACCGCGCCAGGCCATGCGAGGAAGGCGAGAGCGGGGCTGTTCCGGGCGGACAGCGGGGGCACCTTCCGCGTGTTTTTCAATCCGGGCCTCCGGCGCAGCCCCCGCCGCCGCCCCGCCCCCCGCGGCCCGCCCGCCCGCGCGACACCACGGTCCTGTTTTCCATCCTCAGCCGCACACGGGAGACAAGTGGTGACGGCGACACGGGATTCGCCAGGATTTTCCAGGGACTTCCAGGGCTGCCCAGCCCGGCTGGGGGGGGGGGTTTGGAAGCAGCGCCCGTGCCGGGCCCCGCCGCGCGCCCTCGGGGCGGCCGGTGACGAGCGCCGCGAGCGCTGGCCTCCCATTGGCTGCGGCCGCGGCTCGTTGCGGCCAATCAGGGCGCGGGACGGAGCGGCGCTGCTAGCTCGCCCTCGCCGAGCGCACGGCCGCGAGCGCGGGGGGCGGGGTCACGTGACGCTGTGTTTACATCCTCTCAGCTGTCGGGGCCCGCCCCCTGTCCCGTCCCTCGCGCCGACTCGGCCAGCGGGACCGCAGAGCCCCCGCGCCCCGCACCGCGCCCGCCGCCCCCGGGCTGCCCCAGCGCTCTGCCGCCTGCAGACCCCTCCCAGCCGGGTCTCGGCGCTGCCGCCCCGCACAGGGTCCGCGGCCCGCTGCGGAACGGGTGAGTGTCCCGCAGCGGGGGTGGGCAGAGCTGCGCTCCGTCCGCGCTCTGCGGCGCCCCGGCCCCGTGGGACGGTGGGTTGCGGCGAGGGGTGAGACCGCGGCCCGCCGGCCTCTCCGGTCGGCTGGGCTCGGCTCCCTGGGTGCTGCGAGTCCCATTGTCCCCGGCCCCGCACGCAGGCGCGGGGGAAGGCGGGGGAGGGGGGGGGAATGGGGGTGTTTGTTTTCGCGCAGCCGGGACAGGGCGAGGGTTCGCCTGGGAAGGGACGGATCGGGACGGGACGGGGGCTGTGTGCGTCCGCCCTCGGCAGCTCAAGCCCATTTGTTCTCGTTCTCCTCCTTTGCCCGACCCCCGCCACCCCCCGCGCCATCCCGCCGCCTGCGTAATAAATAATCCCTGGCCCAAAAAAGGGTTGGGAGGAGGGGAGGTGTTTGGTGAAGCTGTCGCGGGCCCGGGGCAGCGGTGAGGGGACGAGGACAAGAGAGAGAAGGTTCCAGCCCTGAGATCCAGGCGGAGGGGGGGGTGGAGGCAAGGTAAGGGCATCGTTCGTCCCCCACTGCGGCTCAGCGCCCTGCATCTTCCCTCATGACGGCAGTGGGTTTGCTTTCTGCCTTTGAGGAACTGCAGTGAGAACGGGAGCTTGCTTTTTTTGTTTGTTTGTTTTTGGTTTTTTTTTTTTCTATTTTGTTTTTGTTTTGTTGTGGTTTTTTTTTTTACCTCTGCCAAGCTTTTATAACCTCACGGTCTTGTGGGGGCTGCGTCTTCTAGGCCGAGGCATCTTTGAGGGGTGCGTGAAGCAACGCTTTGTTTCTCGTGGGCTAAGGAAGGATATTTCTCCTTTCGGGAGAGGTGTTGGTGCGGCGGCAGTGAGTGGAAAATACTTTATTTACATAAACAAAGTGGGTGAAATAGGCGATAACTTCGCATTTCGCCCGCAAGCCGTGAGTCGGTCGGTGAGCATTCCTGGCAGCCGCCGGGGCACAGAGAGAAGGCTGCTCTGCCCCCCGCTTTGCCATAAATGCACATTTTGCCTCTGTTTACATTGTGGTCTCTGTTTTGGCTGGGAGCAGCGTAAGGGGAGGAGCAGGAACTGGCTCCGGGGCAGCCACCTCCGCCCCTCTGTTTTCTTTGTTGTTATCTGTTCGAGGAGGCGTCCTGGGGTCATGTCTGCCCGGAGCTGAGCCGCGGTCTGGGGTTAATGGGATTCCTCTTGGGCCCGAAACCTCGGGCTGCCTTCTGCCGTGCATGTGCTGGTCTTGTCTGTCCCCCGCCGTCGCCCTCCTCCCCCTGCCTCCGCAGTTGTCAGCGGCTCGCAGTGGAGTTGGAGGAAGGGAAAGGGAGGGCAGAGGGGGAAGGAATCTTGGCATTTATTTGATACTCGATCAGCCTGGGCCTGCTTTGTACAGCTCTGTCGTATTAAAAAAAAAAAAAAAAAGAGAGAGAGAGAGAGAAAGAAACAATAAAGCCCTTAAAAACCACCTATGGACAAGAGGTGAGGGGTTCGTTTGAAAACATCTTCAGAGTCTGCAGGAAAGAAGAGATGGAAGTATTGAACTGTTGCAGTGTGTGGAGAATGCTTGTGTGTCCTTGCAGTACTTGCCAGGGCCCACATAGTTACTGTTCTAGTGGGTATTTTTTCATTCCTTTCAAATAAAAGTCAAGCACAGTTGAACTGCACACTTCAATGAGGAAGTAGTGTTTATTCTGATAATGAGCAACAAATTTTGAAACACACACAAAAAAAGACACAGGTAAGGCTAGTCAGCAATTCAGTGAATTAATGAAGATACTCAATTCCTCTTGACCATGTGACCTCTCTGTTGCAGGGAAGGCTTGTTACTTGTTAAGATGAAAAAATTGTAATACCTAAAGTTAATAAATTACAAGCATGTATTGTAAGAATGCCTTTGTAACCTAAATCCATTATGCTTGCAAATGAATTGTAATGTGTGATACATTTTTTTCCCCAACAGGACCATTACCTTACTCTGAGCAGACCATCTCTGGGAGGAGTCAGGCTGTCTTCTGCAGAACTCCTGCCTGATTTGTTGGGAAAGTTTGAAAAATACTTTGGATGCATAGGTGGAAAAACATGTGAAAGATCTATTGGTATTTTAACTGGGTTCGGGTGAATAAATATAATGATAGGAATGTAAGAAGTATATGAGTGAGGTCATAGAGCCACAATGAGGGCTTTGGAGATGGACACTTAGCCAGATGTTCTTTACAACAGTCAGTGTTCCTCAGAAATGCTAGAAAAAACAATTGGATGTTGTTGGGAGGTCTGCAGTGAGGACAATGTCATGAAGTCACAGAAGCAGAAACAGAAAAAAGTATGTAATGCTGAACAGTCCTGGGTGGCCAAATCTTATCACTGTGTCTCGTGCAGGATTAGGTTCCTTCCCTGCATAATCTTTGATCTTTCTTCTAGAATTCCTGTAAAAATATTCATGCCTCTCTAGTTGGCCTTCTCTCTGGATTTTCTTCATCTAATCTGACTGCATCGTGACTTGCTTTAGATATTTCACTAACCAGTTTCAATTTTAAAATTTTATAAATTTATGAAGTCTTGCCATTTTTATAATCACATTCTTGGCAGATTGGTGATTTTTATTGCTTAGTCTTCTGTTTGCCTTTCAGTGACTGTCCCAAGCTGCAGCATCTCCTTTTGAAGAGGATTCTGCCTATTAGGAGAACAAGAATAGGATCTCACTGCCAGACATGTATTTTTCAGTAGTTTTCCATGCCTGTGCTGGACCACACCAGAGCAGTCACTTGTCTGTGTTTCTGCAGTCTTGAAGTGCTTTTGAGATAGTGTGCATTCTGAAGCTAAAGGTAGGCTTAGGCATGATACTACTGCAGGTGGAAGTCTTAAAAGAGAATTGTTGCCTGTGATAATTTTTTTTCTTTAGGCAAATTTGAAAGACATTAGCACAGAGGTAAAATCTGAAATTCTTACAGCAAGTTAGTTAGTAGTATAGGGGTTTTTTTCCCCCCAAAGATACTCCCAAAACTAGGCAAGATAATTTTTCCATGCAGTGTTCCAGAAAGATTTATTTCTGGAGGTCTAAAAGTTCCCCAGAACAAATACTTAAAAAGCATTTCTGAAATAGTTAGGCATATGGGAATGCTTATCCCAGTCTCAGGTACGTGGTGAGAAACACCTGAGAATACAGTCATTGTTTCTCAGTGAGGAGTGTCTTTACATGTGTACTTTTCATTTCCTGCTTTGTTCCCATTTTCAGCAGGAATGTCACAGAAATGTGCTATTCTACCCTGCTGAACCGAAAGGGATGTTCTGTAGCTGATATTTATTTAGCTCTCTGTATAAGAAAAGTGCCTTTTAGTCTAAAGCACTTGGCACTCTTGGATGCAAACAAAGTTTAATATTATCTCACTTATTTTACCTATTTAGAATGTAAATTCCTCAAAGCAGAAGTAGGTAGAACATATGTGCAATCATGTTTTGCAAATGAATAATCAGGTATATTGCCCTAGGGCACTCTGTGAGTCTTCCAGTAGGGTCAGAAGTTGATCTACATGCTTCATCTTCTTCAGCCAACAAGCTTGGATTTTTTAGATGTATCTGCTTTGCAGAATACATAAAAGATGTATCTTTTGATGTATCTGCTTTGCAGAAGTGTGATCACACTGTTCCACTTCATTATTCGTGGAGTTCTAGGGACTAAAGTGTAGTAATTATGATGAAATATTATGGGTATAATTATATGAAAGCATCAGGAAATAACTACTGTGCTTCAATTCCTTTGGGACTTATTTGTATGCACTGGATGTTAATGAGAGGCTTCAGGCCTGCTTCATGCAAGCTCTTAAAGCAGTTGCTGCTGCTGTGTTATTTAAGAAATTCGAACTGGACTTCTGGTCCTTGAAGAAAGGCTAGAATCTGTAGCATCTTAGGATGATGAAGATAATTTTTGTACAACTGAAAGATAGTTGGTTGACATTCAGAACAGTGGTGTTGGTTCTCTGTCCATTTTGTCTTGGTACATCATGCCAACTTGATGTTTCAGAGTTAGTATTGCAACTCCAAAGTTGACAGTGATGTTAACTAGTCTGGAGAGCTTGGAATCCTGATGGAATGTATGTATGTGAATTATTGCTAAATCTGTGTCTGATCAGAAGCTTATTGGAATTGTTGAAAGGAAGTGGTAAAAGTAAACTGAAAACAAAGATGCATTTAAAAATTGCAGTCAGCGCAAAGAAACTTATTTTTGGAAGGAGAAAAGGATTGGAAACGGTATCTGGAAACAACTGCAGGGTCTTTATCACTTGTACCTTTTGGCTGCAATTGGTATGTGACTTATTTCTCAGTGAACTTTATCAGTGTTTAAAATTGAAGCACAAAAATATAAACTACCCATTATTGTGAGGAGAAAGCACTGGTTTAGAGGTCATCACAGAGCACTTGAACAAACAAACAAAAAAAAGACAAACCCCCAAACTCCACAGCCCTAAAATAATTTAGGTGTGACATCAGGAGTCCCTGTGGTTACTCACAGGCTACAGATTCTGGTGTATTCTCACATGGCGAAGTTCTAGAGTGAGGAAGTGACTGTGGAGCAGGATTAAACTGTCTTGTGGCGGAAAAATACTTGGAGCCTGCTGCTTAGAAAATGCATTTAATGAAGGCTAATTTTGGAGTCCTGGCTTTGTTTTATATGTTAAGCAAAGAAAAGATATTAAGATCTTGTTTGTTACAAGTGCAGAATATTGAGTTCTATGAGTTGCACACAAGTGGAGATTTAAGATTCTATGTGTTAAGGTGACATAAAAGGTGACATCTTTGGAATGTCTTTAAAGTAG